TTTCATGTTCTCCCACGTTTTACCAGGTTCTGTCTCTGTGAGACCAGCTGCCCTCAGGAAGATTATTTCCCCCCCAATCTCTTTGTCAAGGTCAATGGGAAACTGTGCCCCCTGCCGGTAAATATTCTTTTCTTCTTCTGGAAATAACCCTTACCCTGTTTCAGTTCCTAAATGTTAACTACAGACTTATTATGAAAGAGACATGCCCAGCACAGTGCCTGGCACACAGTAGGTGCTCAGTTTACTGATTGAATCAATATAATCTAGAGTACTAAGATAAGGCTGAACAAGGGTTCTGTCAGAACCCAGAGGTGGGACAATAGTTCAACCCAAAGGTTCAGGGAAGACTTCTCAGAAGTGATGACCCCAGAGCTGAGAGTTGCGAGAAGTGGGGCATCCGTATTCTTCCTCCTCAGGAACTCAGTGAGTGGGTTCCTATTTCCTATAAATCCTAGATAGTTCCCCAGTTTTGTGAGTCACTCAGTGGGCCCCCATCTCCTTGGTCAGTGAGTATGCTGGCCTTCCCTCCAGGGAGTGAGTAACTGGAGACAAGAGGTCTTGACCAGTCCCTCCCTTCCCCAGGGTTACCTTCCTCCTACTAAGAATGGGGCTGAGCCCAAGAGGCCCAGCCGCCCCATCAACATCACGCCCCTGGCTCGACTCTCAGCCACTGTTCCCAACACCATTGTGGTCAACTGGTCGTCTGAGTTTGGACGGGTGAGCATGGCTGAGGCAGGGAGCCTGGAGAAGCCTGCAGGGAGTGACGGGGAAATCATCCAGTGTCCTGGGTTGGGGAAACATTTTCCTCTTCATGAGTCTCTCTACCTTAACCCACTGTCTCTTGTCCTCGTGGGACAAAGCAGGGAGTGGGGGGATGGTGTGCAAAGCAGAAGCTAATTGTCTCCCCCCACCTCCAAGTAGAATTACTCCTTGTCTGTGTACCTGGTGAGGCAGTTGACTGCAGGGACCCTTCTACAAAAACTCAGAGCAAAGGGTATCCGGAACCCAGACCACTCCCGGGCACTGAGTGAGTAACACCTTCCCCTCTTCTCCCCTCTGATCTGGATCCAAGTCTTCCTGGCCCTCCAGTCTTTTCAATCAAACCCATACTCCTCTTGTGTCAACTTACCTCACCTCTCACATGAACCCCAACCCTCCCCCTTCCCCCTACCAATCTTCATGGTTCAGAAGTTGGACCACTCCAAGGCACTGTGACACCCTTGCATTCCCAATTATACATCTTTGCACCTTACAGACCCTAACTCCAGTCCTGCTGGAATGTGGGTTCTCCAGAGTGGAAAGAGTCTTAAGGATCATCTAATCTAACCCTCTTGTGATGCTTCAATTCCCTCTAGGTCTTCTCTGCCAAAGTGTCACCCAGCTGTATTTAAGCATCTTCAGGGATGGGGAAATCCCCCTCCCTCCCCAGCCTTCATAATTCAGATCCCAGACCACCCCCATGTGACATCCCACTGGCCCCTGAAGGCTGTCTACTCAGCTGCCTCTCAGCCAGAGCTGTTTGCTTCTGGCCTCACTATATCCTGGGCTTCCTCTTCAGCCTTGCTGACCCCATGGCTCTGGCCTCATTCTTGTTTCAGTCAAGGAGAAATTGACTGCTGACCCGGACAGTGAGGTGGCTACTACGAGTCTCCGGGTGTCACTCATGTGCCCGGTGGGTACAAGGGAGAAGAGAAGGGGGAGGAGGTTTGGGTTAAACCTCTGGACTCAGATGAGGGTTCTTAGGGCTGCTAGAGTGAAGCTCTCTGGGATGTGGGGACCCAGCTGACCAGAGAACTTGTCTCTCTCAGCTAGGCAAGATGCGTCTGACTGTCCCCTGTCGTGCCCTCACCTGTGCCCACCTGCAGAGCTTCGATGCTGCCCTTTACCTACAGATGAATGAGAAGAAGCCAACGTGGACATGTCCTGTGTGTGATAAGAAGGCTCCCTATGAATCGCTTATCATTGATGGGTAGGGCCATTATGCATTCTGTTTCCTCTTACCTAGGACATCCACTGGGACCACCCCCTACCCCTCTCTTTCTCTATGACTATATATAGAGAGCATACTTCCCCTCCCATGAACCTCAACTCTTAATCTATTTATCCGTTTTATATATTATATATATATATATAAAATAAAGAGGATAGATTATTTATATATATATTTCGAACATTGAGGACTTCCTACATACTAGGGATTGTGCTGAGCACTTTGCATGCCTTATTTCATTGAATTCTCATAATAAGACTAGGAGATAGGTACTGTCATTACAGATGAGGAAACTGAGGCTTAGATTATCTTGCTCAAAGTTACACTGTTAGTAAGTGGCAGAGCTAATGTATCAAACTGTTATAATATATTGCCTATAACAACTACTGGACCTCTCACTGAGCACAGCAATGAAGTTCTTTTGAGGGCCTGGGTGTGCTGCTAGCTAGTCCTAACCCCCTTCCAGAGCCTACGTTATGGTTCCTGTTCCCAGTGCCCTTTTTGAGATGGTTTATGGAGTTCTGTATCTTTCCTTCTTACTGTCTTGTTCTTAGTACTACATGAATCAGGTGCTTAGAATGTATTTATTTTAAAATTTAGCATTTAAAGTTTTCAAAGCTCTTTTACATACCTTACTTTATTTGATTCCAGCCACAACTCAGAGAGGTCAGTAGGGTGGATAATATCCCTACTTTAGAGGAGAGGAAACTGAGGTTCAGGAAGGTGAGTCCCAGAACTCCCTGGCTACTGTTCCAGCCATCTCCCAGCCCCATGAATTCCCATCTCTCTCCTCCTCCAGTTTATTCATGGAGATTCTTAATTCCTGCTCGGATTGTGATGAGATCCAGTTCATGGAAGATGGATCCTGGTGCCCAATGAAACCCAAGAAGGAGGCATCTGAGGTTTGCCCCCCGCCAGGGTATGGGCTGGATGGTGAGTGACCCCCTGTCCCCCAGCTGAGCTAAGTCTTGGATGGCCTCTTCTCTGAGACATAGTCTTCTCACTACCCACAGGCCTCCAATACAGTCCAGTCCAAGAGGGCAATCCATCAGAGAATAAGAAGAAGGTTGAAGTTATTGACTTGACAATAGAAAGCTCATCAGACGAGGAGGACTTGCCTCCGACGAAGAAGCACTGTCCTGTCACCTCAGCTGCCATCCCGGCCTTACCTGGAAGCAAAGGGTATGAGGAAATAGGCTGAGTCTATAGCAGAAGGGACAGAGGAAAAAGTCAGGAATGCTTTCTGATCACTGGGCAAACCCTGGGCCAGAGAGGGGACTTAGTGGGCTGAGCTGAGTGAGGCCATCTGTGGTTCGCTGGCTGTCCCAGCTCCTTCTCTCTCCTCACAGAGTCCTGACATCTGGTCACCAGCCATCTTCGGTGCTACGAAGCCCTGCTATGGGCACGTTGGGCGGGGATTTCCTGTCCAGTCTCCCACTACATGAGTACCCACCTGCCTTCCCATTGGGGGCCGATATCCAAGGTATGACACTGATCACAGGTGGGGCCAACACTGCCACATCCTCCCCAAAACCAGATCAGAACCCCCGCTCCTTTTCAAAGTTTTCTGGCTCTCTTGCAAAGGACCACAATCCAAGGAACTTCTTTGTTTTTTTGGTGGTGCAGGGGTGCAGGAGGTTGATTTTAATTTTTCTTTTCCTACCAGGTTTAGATTTATTTTCTTTCCTTCAGACTGAGAGTCAGGTAAGTGGTTCCTTCTCCTCCCATGAAGATCTCAGATCTCTGAAGCTTCCTTTCTAGGCACTGATGGCTCCCCTCCCTCTCTCATTTTCCCCAGGACCTAAATCTGCTTCTCTGTGAGGGAAGGGGGGATGCAGGCAGTTTATTTATTTGTCCTAGGCCCCAAGGGTACTCCCTTGGATTCTCACCCATGTCTTCCTTGATCCCCCGTTACTGTTCTGTCTCCGGAGTTTTTACTGTAGTTCTGTCCCTGCCAGCTCACCTCCTCATACCCATGTGCAGTGGGTGCCTGCCCCAGCCGGACATTCCACACATTTCAGACGCCCACAAAGCCAAGAGCCTAGCAAACTGGAGGGGCTGTCTCAAGGCAGGGAATAGGGGTGGCGTGTGGGGAGGTAGGGGGACGAGTCAGAGAGAGGTTCTCCTGCTTCTCAGAGAATACCTTGGGATCCAGTGGGGTTGATTTAGCCCATATATTTCTGAGGTGAGTGATTGGGAGGTGGGTAAAGTCAGGATAAAATCTTAAACTCTGCCCTTGATTCCTCCCAGCACTATGGTCCTTCCTCCGTCATCACCTCACTAGACGAACAGGATGCCCTTGGCCACTTCTTCCAGTACCGAGGGACCCCTTCCCACTTCCTGGGCCCACTAGCCCCCACATTGGGGAGCTCTCACCGCAGCACCACTCCAGCACCCCCTCCTGGCCGTGTCAGTAGCATTGTGGCCCCTGGGGGCACCTTGAGGGATGGGCATGGAGGACCCCTGCCTTCAGGTCCCTCTTTGACTGGCTGTCGATCGGACATCATTTCCCTGGACTGAGTCCCCTGGATTACAGAAACTTCACTGCCTCCAAATACTCAGCAAGTATGCTGTGGAGTCCGGACCCCTGGCCACTCTGACCTCTCAGGGGGCTTTGGCCAAAGGCCAGAAAGACCTTCATGGACACTTATTTTTGACTTCATCTCTGCTTGACAAGGCCAGCACCCAAAGGGTTAATATTTAACCTCTTTTTAAGGACATTTGGGGTCTATTTTTGGAAATGTTCTTTAGATGGCCGGTACATTCCTTTGGGTATGTTAACCTAGGCAGTGGGAGGCAAATGGGATGGGATGTGAGTTGGGGAAGGGCTGAATCCTTAGCCTTGACTGTCTAGAGCCTCGTGGGGAAAGGACCCTTCTCTCGTCCCCCAGAAGCCCTCTCTTCCCATTCTCCAAACCCATGGGTCTGTTCCTTCCCCACATCCATTGTCTCTTCACGTCCATTCCATTCTCTTTGGCCAAACAGACTGGTAGAGAAACTGAGACAGGCAGACACACGGACAGAGAACTCTATTTTGGGTTGCATATTTTTTGTACATAAACAAGAAAAACCAAAATACTCCAAAGATGACTTCCCCTGCCTCCTACTTCCCAGTGTGACTGAGGGGGAGGATAAGGCCTTAGCCCTGATCCCCAGGGCCTGGCCTATCACTTGGGTCTCTCTCTATTTATATATTTAAGTTCACAATGTTTCTTACGCCGACCAGCCTAGGGACTGAGCTTCTAGGGCTTCTGTGGTTAGGTCTGGCTCGTTCTGCACCTTTCCTGGGAGGTGGGAGGACCCTTGTGCTCTCCCCAGTCTCCTTTTTCAGGCTTCAGGGCCTAGGACCTATGTTGTAATTTTACTTTTTATTCCCAAAGTTGTAGCAAAGTTCTTACCCATAATAAAGGTTGTGAATGTTTTGTGAGTGTCACGGAGGTGGGCTGGGGAGGGGACTACGCACTTCGCTGTCCAGATCCCTGGTTTGGGGGAGGGGGTCCATGATCTCTTCTTCCTTTGCTGGCCCTGGATCCACGTGGGCTCCACTTTCACATGGTAGGGGTGTCACACTAAGGATTTCCAAGAGCCGTTGTTCTTTCTTCCTTCCCCTCCCCCATGCACAGAAAAACACGAGAGCATTCAGCCCAACCCTGTGGAGCCCTCAAGTCCTTCTTTACCCTTACCTGCCCAGATGTTGCAGCCAGAGACTGAGGGCGAACTTGGTCCCAGTGCTCACTCTCTCTTTGCTTTCTGCTGTGGTTGGGGTCGTCCGCAGCAGTGTGGACAGGGGCAGGGCCAGAGGTCGAACTCCTCCATCCTCCTCTACTTCCACTGCACTGCACAGTGACCACTCTTGTCTGGGCTGTACCTTGTGGCTTAGCCCACTTCTGTATGCATTAGGTCATCTAATCCTCCCAGCCACCGCAGGAGAGGGGTGGGTGGGTGTTAACTTCATTTTATAGAAAGGAAACAGGCTCAAAGAGGGTTAAATGACTTGCCTCTATGAAAGAGTGGGACTCAATCCCGGGTCTTCAGTGCTAGCCAGTCGGAGCAGGAACCCTTGGAGTTTGACGGGCAGTGTCTTTGATCTAAGTGCTCTCTTCATTATCAGTTGACCAACTCACTCCCTAAATCTCTCCCACAACACAAAATTCTCCCCTGAGGAGGGATAGAAGCTGAACTTCTCAATGTGTATGTGTTGGTGGGTCAGGGAGAAGCTCCTACGTACAGGACAGAGGGTGGTAGGTCCTGAGGGAGATGTCTGGGTGTCTCTGTCCCATCCTCTGTGGCAGCCACTGCAGCTGCTACATCTGGTCCCAGCCACAAAAGCGCGCTCACCTCACTTGGGTTTGGTTGGATCCGGACCTGGGGCCAGACATGTTGATCCCTTAGTCATGGCCTTTCTTGGGAGGCCTGTTCTTAATTGCAGCCTACCCTCAGGTGGAATGGAAAGAGACTTGGGGCAGGGGAAGGGGGAGAGGCTATTGGATTTCTTGGTTATCTCTGACCTTCCCTTTCCCTGACCTTAGTCACAGTCCCAGAACCAGTCTGCTGGCCTCCTGAGCCCCCATTTCCTTCCTCCACTGCCAGCCCTACCTGCAGCTGCTGCTGTGACTCCTGGGAGACCACAAGTAGATATAGAATGTTGTGATGGTTTTTGGGGAGACCCCAGCTCAGTCTAGGAGGGTAGGCAGACTAAGAGAGAAGAAAACAGCAAAAGTGAGAACTTCCTGTGTCTCTTTGAGACTTTGTAAAAACAGCTGAGGAAGTGGAGGATAGAGATGGTGCAGGAGGGACAGGGTGAGGATTGTGTGTTCAGGGACTCCAAATCACCAACACTCCATCGTTCCCCCTGTGGCCAAGGCAGGTAGGACTGTTCTACGGGTTCTGGTGGGTTAGAAGTTGTTGAGGGCTCTTGGTTAAATAGGAAGGGACCTCTCCCAGGTCCCTGTCTCACCTCCCATAACCCCAGAGGAACCCAAGAGAACTGGCCCTGGGGCAGCTGTAGTCCACTCTCCTCCCAAAGCTCTCGAAGCCCTCCGTGCAACAGATGGAGTGAGAGAGGGCAGGTCAGAGAGGCCAATTCCTGACTCCTCCAACTACTTTGTTTGCCCCTCCCTCAGCCTACACCCAAGATGGTCCCAGACAGGTGTCTTGGTTCAGAGCAGGGTGCCGGTTGGGTCAGCTGACTGGTTACCTCTTCATCCAGTTCCACACGCCCACCTGCAACAACAGTGGGACCAATAGGTGAATGGTGGTGTTCTTGGCTAGGGACCCCTACTATTTACACTGCTCCTCCTCCAGTGGGTGAAAAAAAGTTGCAGCCCCTTGTGATTATGGGACATACCACATTTCTGGGCCTACTGCTCTGTCCTGAGACTGGGAATAGCATTGTGGAGTGAAGGACAAGATTCTTCCCTGGACTTGGGGCCTTGTCCTTAAGGCACTCACCTGGGGGTACCCAGAGGTTGGGAGAAACGATGAGGGCGCGGATCCTTCGGGTCAACAAGACAGTCTGGTCGCTGGACTGCAGCATGACGGCCACACCCAGATCCACGTCTCGATTCTTGGGCAGCTCTGGCCCCGAAGCCCTGGGCTGCTGATCCAGGGCCGCAAAGGGGCAAAAAGGGGGTGGCTGGCGAGAGGAAGCCGCTTGGGTTAAGGCTTCAGCAGCGGGGCGGGGCATTCAAAAGCTGGGTGACGTCGCGCGCGGTGGGGGAGGAAGCAGAGGCGGACGACTGGTCAGGCCTCTGGCCGCCAGCTCCCACCCGATCCCAGTCCCTGCCTTGGGCCCTTCACTCCCCCCGCTGGGTTCCGCCTTCTCCCGACCTGGAGCGGAAGCCTGGCCGAGGCGCCTGGGAAAGGCCTGGCCGAGAGGACGAGCCGTCCTCGCTTCAAGCCGCAGTACGTGGGCCACGGCCCGAGCCCAGACCCGGCGCCCGGGAGGCCACACACACTCTGCGTGAAGCTCACCGACTCCGGGCGCCCGGACAGGAGCAGCAGCACCCGCGCTGCCGCCATAGCGCGGCTCTAGGGCCGCTGCGGCCCGCCTGACGCCCTCTGGTGGCCCAAGCGGCACTTCCACTTGGAGTGTTCCGCGGGGTCGGAAGGAAGCCAGGCTTCCCAAACGTCCCCGGGAAATTTAGGCTTAACACTTGGGGATGATCCGTGGTTGTAATGTTAATAAATGACAAAGGAGAATACCTCTAAATCCTCAGCTCCTCTCTTCTTCTCATCTTTTCTGTTTAGGACAACGATCCCCAGACTGAATGATTTCTGGACTCATGTCACCTCCCACCAGCCACAGTCTGAACCCTAAGCACCCCTCCATAGCACTCTGCACACCTATCCGTTATAGCAGGGATCACCTTGAATTAATTACATCTGTCTCCTAGCCAGACACTCGGGAAATATTTTTGACACCTCTCCTTTCTTTCTTCTCACTCAAACGGCAACCAAGCGCAGCAGATTCTGCTTCCTTAAACTTTCTCAAATCCAGGTCTTACTCTCCGACCTCCATTGCCTTAGTTCAAACATTCCTCATATTCTGCCTGAAATATTATCCCAAGTCTCCAAATAGTCCTGCCCTCACCAATTCATTCTCTACAGGGTTGCCAGAGTGATCTTTCTAAAACACAAATCTGATCGTTTTGCTTCCCCTTGCTTTCAGGATAAGAGATACTTAGCACAGTGTAGCAAAGACCCACCAGTCCTTGCCCCTACCTGTCTCTCCAGCCTTGATTCTAGCAGGCCTTATGTCCTATTTTCTAGTCATATCCTATCTGCAGTTTCCCCAAGAACCAGGCTCTGCTTCCCTCTAGGATCCGTTTCCCCTTCCACCTGGCAAATCCTTATCTTTCAAAATACAGATTAAGTGTCACTTTCTCTATGCTCCTGTTCCTGCCTGACCCTTTTCCATGATAGGCCCCCAATACTTCCTTGTACTTGTTTGTCTCCTCCCACTAGGCTGCACGCTCAAGGCTTATGCATCTTTGTATCCCTAAGGCCTGGCCCAGTACTGGGCACAAAACAGGTACTCAGTAAATGATGGTGAGTGGCTTGAAGGCAGAGATGGTATCTACTTATCTTTGTTTATTATATCTACTACAGTGGCTGGCAATTAATTGGCACTCAAATGTTTAATGAATTAGAACTAACATTGGCAAGAGGAAACTGAAGAGATTAGAAAAGAACACCTAACTGCTTTAAATGAACCGAAGCTGCTGAGACAAATTACATCAACTAGATCAATCATATATCTATGGTACTGAAAGAGAGAGAACTTAGAATTGCCACTTGTAAGGAACCACGGAGAAGAGGAAGGCAATGATTTTATTGAGTGCTTACCATATGCCAGGCATTGTGCTAAGTGTTGTACATACATAATTTCAGCTGTGCTAGAAGCCTGGTGCTGGCAAACATGGCTTCTATCCATAGATTCTAGTGTGACTGCTTGGGCCACTTGCTGGCCCTGAAAATAGCTTTTATCCACCCCTACACACCCCCTCACCCCATGTGGTAGTCTTTCATATTCTCTGCATTGAGTGTGTGTGTGTGTGTGTGTGTGTGTGTGTGTAAGATTATAGCTTAACAAAATAAAGAACTGGTGTAGCCTTTTGAAAATGGAATGAATTGCTTAGGAAGAAGTTTTCCACTGGCAGGGATGTTTAAACACAGGCTTGGCTGATTTCTTGGTGGGAACTGATGCATCTGGTAGATGATTAATCTAGTTGATTTAAAGTTTTTTCCCCTGCCAAGATTTGATGAGGGGAGAATATAGTGATGGGTCTAAGACCAGATCAGCAAACTTTAAAAAATATGTCAAACTCTTTCTGGTGTATTCAGGGTGGTAGGGATAGGGAGGGGGTTTCAGTACAAGAATCTGCAACTTATCCCCCTGCAAAGGATGCATCTAGGCACCTTCTTTATTTTTCCTTCTAATGGCCCCCAGATCTTTTGAAGAAGGCTCTTCTGTGTCATTGTCTCTTCATGGTGCTCTCAATGTATGACTCCAGCAGGAAGATGGTTTCATCCACCTGAATCTCACTGGCATCCAACCTGAGTGAAAAAGTGAAAGCATTTGCCCAGACTGAACATTCATTAGCATATTTAAGATTACAGGCTGGGCTGGGTGTGGCCATAGAGAATTGCTTGGTTACCCTTGAGAGTAATGGGTGAAAAGCAGGAGAACCAACAGATCATTCTCCCATTTACTGAGCATCTTTTATGTACCAGGCACTGTGGAAATTGCTGAAGATTGAAATAATATAGCCTCTGTCCTGGGAGAAGCGACAGTCTAACTTGCAACTAAGAGAAAGAATAACACATGTTAAAGGCACAGGTGTAAAAGGACCTAGTGTTTTTTAAGATAGAAGCTGAGAGTGGCTGAGGCTTAAAGTGAGTAATGATTAGGACTAGAAGGGAACTTCCTCAATCTGATATAAGCCATCTAAGAAAAATGCACAGCTAACATCATACTTAATGGTGAAAGACTGAAAGCTTTCCCCCTAAGATCAGGAACAAGACAAGGATGTCTGCTTTTCACTTCCATTCAATCTTTTACTGGTGATTCTAGCCAGGGCAATTAGGCAAGAAAAAGAAACAGGCATCCAGATTGAAAAGGAAGAAGTAAAGCTATTTCTATTCACAGACGACATGATTCTATATATAGAAAAATCTCAAAGGATCCATAAAAAAACCTACGGGAGCTAATAAACGAATTTGCAAAGTTGCAGGATATAAAATCAAAACACAAAAACCAGGGCCTGGCCGGATGGCACAGTGGTTAAATTTGTGCACTCGGCTTCGGTGGCCCGGAGTTTGCAGGTTTGGATCCCGGGTGTGGACAACACACCACTTATCAAGCCATGCTGTGGCAGTGTCCCATATAAAGTAGAGAAAGATGGGCACAGATGTTAGCCCAGAGCCAATCTTCCTCAGCAAAAAGAGGAGGATGGGCAACAGATGTTAGCTCAGGGCTAATCTTCCTCACAAAAAAAAAAACAAAACCAGGGGCCAGCCCAGTGGTGTAGTGGTTAAGTGCATGCACTCCATTGCGGCAACCCGGGGTTCGGATCCCAGGCACACACTGACACACCGCTTGTCAAGCCATGCTGTGGCAGCGTCTCATATAAAGTGGAGGAAGATGGGCACGGATGTTGACCCAGGGCCACTCTTCCTCAGCAAAAAGAGGAGGATTGGAGACCGATGTTAGCTCAGGGCTAATCTTCCTCACGAAAAAGAACCAAAACCAGTTTTATTTCTATACACTAGCAATGAACAACCCAAAAATGAAATAAAGAAAACATTAAAATAGCATCAAAAAAGAATAAAATACTTAGGAATAAATTTAACAAAAGAAGTGCAAGACTTGAACACGGAAAATGACAAAACATCATTGAAAGAAATTAAAGAGCTAAATAAATGGAAAGACCTCCCTGTTTATGGGATGGAAGATTTAATACCATTAAGACGGCAGTACTCCCCAAAGTGATCTACAGCTTCAAAGCAATCCCTATTGAGGTCAATGGTGAGGACTGAAAGGAAATGAAGATAGAGGAAGAGGCTGCTATGAGATTGTAAAAGGCACTATAAGTCACACCAAGGAGTCTGGTTTTTCTACTGTAAATATAAGGAGTCATTAAAGCATTTAAAATAGGAGAGTGATATATTTTTAATCATTTTAAAGATACTAACTTTGAGAGCATTATAAGAGATGGTTTGAAAGGGGAGGTGATTGCAAAGGTCTAGGAAAAAGGTGATGAAGGTCTGCACGAGGACCAACATGAAAGGCCAGACTTGAGACACTTACTGAAGTAAAATCAACAGCCTTGGTCAACAAGAGAGTATGTGTGGTGAGGGAGGAGAAGCTGAGGATGTCTTCAGCATTTTTAGTTTAGGAAAATAGGTGGATTAAATTCTGTTAATTGAGTTGGGGAAGAAGATAATCAGTTTAGGTTTGTTCATGTTAAGCTTGGTGGGGAAGCAGGATATCGAGGTGGATTTGTCTGGAAGGTATTTTTAAACATGGGCTTGAAGTTTATGGTGCTTACTTGTTGACATTACGTTTCAGGGTCTCTAGCTGCTGCCGTTCAGGGGCTGTGATCATCTCCTCTATTTCTTGTAGCTGTGCCTCCTCTGCACCTGTAGCCTGCATGGATGCAATGATGGCTTCTACCCTCTGAGACTTTTCTAGTAGACGTCTGTCAGACAAAACACAACTCTGAGACACGTCTTCTAGGCTTGGAGATTCTTTTACCCTTTAGCCCTGGGGCATAACTTCCCCCGTTTACCATTGACCTGGTCAAAGTGGATAATGTCACCTAAGGACGTTTTCTACAAACTTAATTAGAAATGTGACTTCACTCCTGAAACTCCTATTCCTCTCATTTACACTTAAAGTTTGGTGCCAGTTTGTACATTTTTCATAAATTTAATCTATAAAATTATTTCACTGGGGGTATATTAGAAAAGTGTAGACTAATGCATGATTTATGCTAACCTAAGCGAATAGTTCAGTGCAACTAGACTGGTTATTGTCTCCATTGGTTTCCATTTCTATAGGAAATTTCCCCGCAAGCCTTTGACTTTGAAAAATGTAATTACTCAACTAAAAATGCTACTCACTTGTTCTCTTTGGTTTCAAATTGCCTCCTTTCTATCAAGTTGGCTATGCTCTGAGGGGAGAGAAGAAAGAAAAGAAATGCACATAGTTCTATTAAGTAGCTCAGGTAAAATAGCTAAAGGGGGCATGAGGGTGAGACTTGTCTGTGTGGAGGGAATGGGGAGAAGGTCCAAAGGACTTACCTTGTAGCACCTATGCAGCAACATTCGGGCAGCTGACAGGATGTTCACAGTGTATAAATAGAAGGTCCTGGATGGGGCATGGTCTGGCGTTTTGGGAATTTCCTATTTGTCCATAGAAAGTAAAATAAGAGAAATTATACTATTCTTCAGAACTGGCAAAGTAAACAGCTGTCCCATCTGGAGCTACTCAGCCCTCTCTTTCACTTATACTTTCCTCTTCCCCAGTCATTCAGCATCTGTGTTTATGGCATAATCAGCCACATGGAGAGTTGGGCTGACCTGTTTTTTCCATTTGACTTGCAGCATCCTGAGTGGGGAAGGAAGAGTAGGCAACTAACATTTACTGAGCAACTCTCATGTTTTTTTTTTTTTTTTTTTTTTAGATTTTATTTATTCATTTTTTTCCCCCCAAAGCCCCAGTAGATAGTTGTATGTCATAGGTTCACATCCTGCTAGTTGCTGTACGTGGGACTCGGCCTCGGGTTGGACGGAGAAGTGGTGCCTTGGGGCGTGCCTGGGATCCGAACCCGGGCCGCCAGCATCAGAGCGCGCGCACTTAGCCGCCGAGCCACGGAGCCGGCCTATCACCATTTTATAGATTTAAAAATAATGGTGGGTAATTTGCTCGATGTAACTGGGTAAGAGGCAGAGTTGTGTTTCTGACTCCAAAATACATTCTATCTATTTCTTCATAGGGTATACTATGTGGCTCTGCACATAGTGAGGACTCAACAGATGCTGTGGATAGGTTTAAGCTATAATAAATTTAAGGCTCAAGGAAAGGACAAATCACATGGACTAGGAGCTAAAGAAAAAAGGGTAGGGCGATTCTGAGGTGATTTCTTGGCTGTGCCTCTTTTTTACTAGGCTAATTAAAGCTACAATTATCTTTCAAGTGGTATGTCCTGTTAATCTCTTTCTTTGTCTCAGAGCTGGATACAGAGTTTGTCTGGAGTTCAGGATATTTGTCTCAGGAGTTTTTCTCGCCCTAGGTTGGCAATTATTACAGCATTGGCTACCTGGAGTGATATGAAATTTTCTGAGAGCATCTTATAAAGCATATCCTTTGCCTCCTTTGCTGGAATCATCGCAAAGTCTTCTACCTGCTTCTGCTCCAGGTGCTTCTTTTGCAAAACTAAACGGAATATTCTGGCACAGCGAGACCCAAACCTGGAAAGGAATGAAGAAAGCAAATGGCATGCCAACATAGATTAGCTTTAGCTCCTAGTCATAGATGGTGGTTGCTCCATTTCCACGTGTGGAGCCAGGACCAGAGAGGAATAGCGATCAGAGAATTCTTTCATGATTCCACAGAGCGATGATGGTACTGCTAATCATAAGGTAGTCACCAACTGCTGACGCGCTTGAGCGCCTCAGTTCCTGCATTTGTAAGTAGAGACTTTAGGAAAGCTGGTTAATTGACATAATTGGGAATTAAGCAGTAGGGTATTTAGGGTGAAGAGTAGTAGTAGATGGGATCCATAGCAGTCCAGTGGAAAAATGGGGCAAGATGTGCCAGGGTGTGCCCACACTGGTTGCTTACATAATGATCAAATTACTTGTTCAAATGGGGCTTGGAAAGGAAGTGTCTGACCCCAACCCCAATCAGGGTAACCCCCTTACCTCTCCTGTACGACAGACTCCAGAGTGGCCGTGGCTAGGGATCCTAGGGCCTTATGCAGGTCTTTATATAGAGGATTAAGGTCACTCAGTAATGTTTTGGCCTGGTCATTGTGATCTTAGTTTTATTCTTAAGTCTCCAATTTAAAATTTAAATGCTGTTTTGTTTTGCACGTTGGCATCATTTATAGTATATAAATATTTCAAAATCTTAACTAACTAGGGTGTTTACGTCAAAGTTTTGCTGAACTAAAATTTGGTTAATTAAAAGTTCTGGGGGGGCGGGGGGCCGGCCTGGTGGCACAAGCGGTTAAGTGAGTGCGCTCCGCTGCGGCGGCCCCGGGTTCGCCGGTTCGGATCCCGGGCGCACACCGATGCACTGCTTGTCAAGCCACGCCGTGACGGTGTCCCACGTAAAGCAGAGGAAGATAGGCATGGATGTTAGCCCAGGGCCAGTATTCCTCAGCAAAAAAAAAAAGAAGAGGATTGGCAGATGTTAGCTCAGGGCCGATCTTCCTCACAAAAAATAAATAAATAAATAAAAGTTCTGGGGCCGGTCTGGTGGCGTAGCAGTTAGGTTCACGCACTCCACTTCAGCGGCCCAGGGTTCACAGGTTCGGATACCAGGCGTGGGCTGATGCACTGCTTGTCAAGCCATGCTGTGGCAGCATCCCACATAAAGTAGAAGAAGATGGGCACAGATGTTAGCCCAGGGCTAATCTTCTTCACAAAAAAAAAAAAAATTTCTTTTTACTTCTTTATTATCAATGTATTGGTTCAATTTTCTAACTTATTTAGTATACTAAATATTATCAAATCTTTTCTTTCATAAGTCACCATTCTGTTTCATAATTCAGGCCACCTGACTGTAAGTAAATAACTGGTAAGGATACTGATGACATACATTCCTCCACCACTATCGCCAGACTTTCCAACAAACTCTAGCTATTAAAAAAAAGAGAGAGAGAGAGTGTGTTAACTGAATGGAAAGTTCAGTGATTCTGTTTCCAAAGGAGCAAATCTGGCCAAGAATCTGCAACAGGAAGCCCTCCTATCAGATGATGGTAGAGAAATTGTCTGAGCTGGCTAGGTAGAGAATGAGGCTACAGGAGAATGTTACCAGGTATCAGTAGCAGAAATAAATCATAACCACAGCAGAAAAAAGGAAAAAAAAATAGCAAAAATAGACTTACTGGATCATCTGCCAGCAGAGTGAGATACTGATCAAGAACTTGCTTAGAGATGTTATAGCCAACAGGTAAGGATCTGAAGATCTATGGAACAAAACGAGACAGTGAAAATGGGCTTGGGAACTTAGAATTGCTGACATTACTGAAATAAATGTTTTAATTTTAGATATCAAAGGTATAAAAATGTCCAAAAATACAGCAGTGTTGTTTGAAAGAGTAAAAAACTAGAAACAACCCAAATGTCCAATAATAAAGAATTGATTAAAGTACAGCATGGCCATTAAGTGGAATATGGCATAGCCATTATAAAGAATGGGACAGATATATAAATACTGATATGAAAAGAAGGTTTACATATACTGTCATATGAAAAAAGCAAGTTTAGAACAGTATGTAGAGTATAATCTCATTTTTCGTTTAAAATAATATACATATACCTACATATATGTAAGATTATACATAAAAAAAGGTCTGAATAGAGATATGTACCAAACTATTAACAAAGATCTCTGGGGCTGGGATTATGCAAAACTATATGTATATTTAAATTGAGGTATGTTACTTATAATAAGAAGCACAGATCTTTTTTTTGTTGTGAGGAAGATCAGCCCTGAGCTAACATCAAATGCTGATCCTCCTCTTTTTTCCCAAGGAAGATTAGCCCTGAGCTAACATCTGTGCCCATCTTCCTCTACTTTATATGGGACGCCGCCACAGCATAGTGTGACAAGCGGTGCATCAGTGCATGCCCGGGATCCAAACCCGCGAACCCCGGGCCGCAGAAGCGGAGCGTGCGCACTTAACCTCTTGCGCCACTGGGCCAGCCCAGAAGCACAGATCTTGAGGGTTCCGTTTGATGAGTGTTGGCAATTGTATAGACCCATGTAACTACTACCCATAACAACATATAGAACATGTCCACCATTCCTGAAAGTTTGGGGAAATACAACTTTTAAAAAATTATACATTTCTACTCTGTTTGAGTATAGGTCATGTAATTTTGTCTTCAGAAAAAAACTTATATTTAAATTTTTGTTATATAATAAATTAAAAAAATTTTAAGTAAACAATATCAAATATAGTAACTATATTTTATATGAATAAATATAAGTATAATTATGAAAGTACTAGAATGTAAAAAACATTTGATATATTAAATATTAATATTTTAAGAAACAGATATATTAAAAGCAAATTTAAAATATACAAAATTAATATACTGAAAAAACCAAATATAAGGGGCCAAATAATGTCCTGAGCACTAAGGCTCTCAGATTCCAAATAGTGGATTCTTAGAAAGATTAGGAATAGCTTGTACTCTGACTAAGGGACTGGTTTAGGTTTTTAAAGGCTAGATCCCAAGAGACCAAATATTTCAGTACCTACCACCTGAAGATAATCCCCATCCCACCTCAAACAACAAAAACTCTTTCAAAGCTCAGACCTCAACCTAATCCCAGGCTCTGTGTATAATAATTATGTTCTAATATTCAAGAGTCTGTCAGAAAACTGGTACAAGAACTCAAAACTCACCTCGTTGGAAGACAGTGGCTGGGTGAAGGGGGCACTGGAGGAAGTGGTAATCTCACTCATCCGGAGCATGGTCCTCACAATCTCACTGCTGGTCTGAAAAGTGAACCGGAATTCAGAATTCACTTTGCTGTGCTGGCTCTGGCTATATGCCAGATGGCCACATCTGGCAAATAAGTGCATGTTCCTGATGGCCACTGTCCCACCCACTTAAATATCACCTGGTCCATCCTGTTGGCAACTGCGCTGACAATGGCTTGGTCACGGAAGTGCTGGTGGAATCTGTCAAGGTCAGCCTGCCAATAAATCCCATCATCTGGAATGGGCTGAGGAGGAGAGAACGATTAGAGAGAAACATTTAGATACAGTGGAATTTTCTGGTGAGGAGCTTGTATTTCACTGTTCACCATTTCTTTTCCTATACAGTAGCAACAAAATTGGTTGGAGAAAAATCATTCAATCGTGTGGATCAGTGCCCCGACAAGGACAAATTCACAATTCCCAACTTCAGATTCTCTAACCTTACCTCCTATCCTTCTCTTTGAATTTTAACTCTTCTCCATTATCCTCAACTCTCCCATTTACTCCTCCCTTCTCACTCTCAGCAGATGACCTTGCCTCTTATTTCAGAGAGAAAATAGAAGCCATTAGGTCAGAACTCATTCAACTTTGTGCACACATCCCCACCACATTTCTTTCTTTTTTTAAAAATTTGTATTTTTATCCACTTTTATCACAGTGGAAAATGTTCCTCCTTTTACCTAAGGTTAATGCCCATACTGGTATGCTAGATCTCACCCTCTCCTACATTCTCAGGGACCCAGCTCAATCAATTTTCCCTCCACTCGAACTCTTCAGCCTCTCTTTCTTCACTGCTTTCTTCCCAACAGCCTTTACCTTGTCCAAATCTCTTCTACTCTAAAAGAATTCTCCTTCAATCCTATGCCTTCTCTCCTTTTCCTTTCTGTCATAGCCGAGCTTCTCAAAGAGTCTGCCATCCCAGCTGTACCGCCATCCACAGATTCACTCAGCCCATTTCCACCATTATACTCAAACGTCAAGGTCCCTGAGGACCTCCTTGTTGCTACGTTCAAAGAATACTTTCCAGTTCTGATCTTATTTGATCTTTCTGACGCATATGACATGGTTGGACATTTTCTCCTTCTTAACTCTATGTGGCCCCTTGGAATTTATGACACCATTCTTTCTTGGTGCTCCTCCTAACCATTCTGGCTACCGTTCCTCAGTCTCCACAGATTTCTTTTCCAGATCCCACCTATAAATACTGGTGTTCCTCAAGGTTCTGTCCATAACCCTCTTTTCTTCGTATTCTACATATTCTACCTAGGTGATTGTATCTGCTCTCAAGGCTTCAACTATTGATGCACTTCCAAATCTATTACTTAATTCTAGAACTCTCTATCATGCTCCAGATGCATAGACTCAACTACCTATTTGACACTTCCACCAGTTCCCCAAAACTGTTCTTTTCAGCTAACTACACTACAACCAACCCGATTTCTTAAGCTAGAAACTTGAGTATCATCCCTAACTCTTGCTCTCCCTCATCTACCATCCAATTACCAAGTTCTATCTATTCTTTATATTTATCAGATGTCTACTTCTCTTTATCCTGACTGTCATTATTTCAGGCTCTAATTATGGCTCACCTGGATTACTACAATAGCCTCCTAACTGGTTTTCATTTTTCTTTTTAATACAGTGGACGCTATAACAAGGGTAATTGGGTTTTCCACTTTTAATCCTGTTCCTTTTGCATTGCTCTTCCCATTTCTCATAGAGCAGTGCTTTTTTATCTTTTTGGGTCGCAGTTCCCTTGAAGAATCTGAAGAAAGCTATGGAGCGCTCTACAGAAAAATGTGCATATACACATTTAGAGGTGGACTCTCTGAAATCTATCCGTGGACTTTTACAAATTATGAAGCACTGTACTATAGTAAGCTTTGTAAAATATAAATCTAGTCACTTCATTCCCTTGCCTAAAATCCATCAATGGCCCCCCTCACCTTCAGGATAAAGTCCAAACCTCTTAGTCAATCAAGAAATATTTACTGATGTCTTGCTATATTCCAGGTACTAGGGACAAGATACTGCCCTCAAGGAGTTTATAATTTATCTGCTGAGAGTACAAAGACAAACATGTACACAAACAAAGTTTCAGTTACTTATAAATGCTGTGAAGACGAAAAGGGAAATGTGGTAGAGAGAGGGTGGGCAATGGCGCTTGAGCTCTAAGAAAATAGCATTTGAGCTGAGATCTGAATGATGAAAAAGAGGCAACTACATGAAGATCTGGGGGGAAAGCATTTGAAGCAGAGGAATTTTTTACTAAGGGCAAAAGCCTGAAGACTGGAAAGAGTATGACATGTTTGAGGGATGGAAAGAAAGATAGAAGCTGGAACATAGTGAACGAGAGGGAGAGTGGAAAGAGCTGAGGTTGGAGAGCCTTGTCTCCAGCAGATCATGTAAAGACCAGCTCATGTAAGGCTCATGTAATCCATAGTAAGGGCTTGGGTTTCTTCTAAGAGTAATGGGAAACTATTAAAGGAGTCTAAATCAGTGATGTGTTGGGATTTTTTGAAAAAACAACTGAAAAAGTCATTTTAGCTCTTAAGTAGGTAAGAATGCAGGTAGAGAGACCATTTAGGAGAGTGTTGGCAAAGTGTTGACTAGAGATGATAGTGGTTCGGACTAGGGTGATAGCAGTGGAAGTGGTGAGAAATAGTGGGATTTGAGGTCATTTTGGAAATTGGGCTGACAGGTTTTACTGTGAGATTGGATGGTTCTTAGGATTTTGGCCTAAGCAAATGGTGGTGTCCTAGGTGGTGTCCTTTAGTAAGATGAGGAAAGCTTAGGAGGGAGTAGATATTTGAGAGGAGGAAATCATTCTTTTTTGGCCATACTAATTTTGAGATCCTTATTAGATGTCTTCATAGAGATGCTGAGAAGCATTTGAATATAAGAGCTCAGGCCTATATATATCTTTCTAGACTCATTTCTCACCACTGGCCACCATGGGTCTCTATGTTCTAGACATACTGAACGACTTAAACTTTTTCTAGGTCCTTTTTTTGCATAAGGTGTTACCTCTGTCCAATGACTGCAGTAAGTTAAGCCTTAGAAGGGAGACAGCGGGGGCGGCCCAGTGGTGCAAGTGGTTAAGTGCGCGTGCTCTGCTGCGGCGGCCCGGGGTTCACTGGTTTGGATCCCAGGTGTGCACCAACACACCGCTTGTCAAGGCACCAACACACCACTTGTCAAGCCATGCTGTGGTGGCGTCCCATATAAAGTGGAGGAAGATGGGCATGGATGTTAGCCCAGGGCCAGTCTTCCTCAGCAAAAAGAGGAGGATTAGCAGATGTTAGCTCAGGGCCAATCTTCCTCACAAAAAAAAAAAAGAAGGGAGACAGCAATGCAATTTACTCTGTTAGTCTATTCCTGGCCAATATTTAATGAAGCTCATAATCCTACTACTTCTCAACCCAGGAACCTTTAAGCTGTCTCAGGGTTTGTTATCTTAGTGCTCTTTCTGGCTTGCCTCAGGGTGAGACTCGTAATCAAGAAGCCCCATTACCTCTTTGTTATCTGCAGTATGTTTTGGTCTCTTGGCCTTGGGCTCTCCAGTAGCATCTTCCTCAGATGATCTCCTCCTTTTACCTTTCCCTGTCAAATAAAACAGCTGAACAGTTCGGCTACATCTCATATGATGACAGGAAATGACTGAACATAAGAGCGGGTGTCTCTCCATCCCAAAGACATCTGTAGCTGCCTCTAGGTTAGAGTTCCTGAGGAGCTACAAGAAATTCAAGTTTATGATGAAGTCATCTGAAACTTAACAATTTCAAAAAGAAATTCATAATCTTTCTCCCTCAAACTGCTTGTGCTCCAATGCTCCCTTTCACAGTGAATGGCACCATCATCCTCCCACATATGCAAGTCAGTCACACACATGTCATTCTTGAAACCTCTGTCTCCCTCACCCCTTCTATAGCTAATTTTTCACTGGTTTGTCTACATTTACCTTTGCCCCATCCTTTCTGCAAGCAGAAAAATCTTTTTAAAAATGCAAATTAGATCATGTTACTTCCTTTAAAATCCTTTAGTGGTTTTCCTTTGCTCTTAGGATAAAAAACAGATGCTCTATAAGGTCTTACATGATCTAGTCTCTGCCTGTCTCTCCAACCTCATCTCATGGCTCTCTTTCCTTTGCTTACTGTGCTTTAACTATACTGACCTTCTTTTACTTTCTAAAATATCCTATATTTTTCTCACTATATACTCTTGCCTTTGCCAAAAATGTTTATCCTCTGTACTCCTTCATACTTTACCTCACTGGTTGGCTCCTACTTCTGCTTCAAGTCTTAACTCAAATGCCACTTTCTCAAAGAAGCATGTGCCCGAAATCCCCAGATAAAGCTGGTCCCGTTATATATTTTCATAATACCTCACAGTTTTCCTTCATAGTACTTATCAAAGTTTGTTAGTTATATATCTATCTGGTTTATTTGATTAATCTAAGTCTCCTATACTAGACTTAAGTACCATAAGGGTAGAGACTATGAGTTTTTTTATCATTTTACACCACAGTATCTGGCACAGAATAAATCCTTGGTAACTGCCCAATTGATTGATTCATTCATTTAACAATCATTGATGAAGAATCAACAATTAGGGCAAGTCACGGTCCAGGGGTCAAAATTCCTTACCTATCAAGCTCAGTTTAGGAACCAGGTACATGTCCTTTTCACTGATGACAAGAGTGGGGGCAGGTGGTGGTGGCCCAGAGTCTGAATTCTCAGTGGCAGGCACCAAGGGACAACGCTGCACGAAGTGTGTGTCTGCTAGTCGCACAAATGTGTTTGACACCTCAGCATAGTCCATGGTCTTGCCATCTGTACAACAGGAGGAAAAAGGCAGGTGAGATGGCCTAAGACAGCCGAGGGTCTACTCCTGCAGCCAGCCAATCTATGCTTTTGCTAACAGCAGTGGATACAGTACTGACCCTCCATGGTCTCTGTGAGCCGGTCTGCCACTTTCTTCACAACAGCTGACATTGTCATTTTGCCATTCAACAGCAGCTCCTCAACAATTAGCTCCCCAGTGTCACTGTATAGTGTTTTAGCAGTATAGATGTACCGGGGATACCGAAGCATTCGCAACACCCGGCTGCATTGGGCTTCATACTCCACCACACCACGTTTGTGCACTTGATATATCACCAGATTATGTTGGATGAGGACACAAAGAGCTTTTTTGACCTAGATAGGACCCAAAAGAAAGAGGGAAAAGATCTGAAGCCACCACTCATTATTGCAGGCAATTTTGTCCAACAGTTTACTCAGCATCAGGAGATGGCTAGATAAGAATCTCTGTGCTTCTTCCCTCCCTCCATTGAAAGAGCTAATAAGAATCACATGTCCATAGAAGAAATCAGGAAGATTCCTCGCTATGATGCTCATGTTTCCTCTGATCTTCATCTTCCAAAGTACAATGTACTTTCCCTTTATTATTCTCATTCCTTAAAAGTAGTACTGAGATTAACAGACTCATTATGAATAAATGAGGTATGGCATAGGAAGAGCAAAGATTTGCCTAAGAAGCCATGATGAACCAGGAAGTTTGAGAAGCAGAACCTTGGGGCCTACATCTCATCCTCTTTCCCCGCAAATAACACTGTTCTGATCCCAGGGCAGGCTTTCTCCCTCTTCCATTTTGTGGGGTGGGAAGTAACAATATTCAAAGGTAGATAAAAGAAATTAATGAAATGAAAGCAAATTAATGTCATCCAAACATACCTGATCCAGTGATGTTCCTGTGTCATGGGCAATTACTCTTAGTGGCTGGCTGCCAGTTCTGATTAGGTGGACTCCAATTTTTTCTACAATCTCTCCAAAATGCTCTTGCAGCAACAAAGAACACAGTTTAATTTCTGCTTGAGTCATTGTACTGAGGAGTCTGAGAGCTGGAAACAAAAAGGACTGTATGATGGAAAGTTTTTTTTTATGTTGGGAGTAGAGCTACTGAGTGTAAATTCATGTACTTTCTCAAGGGCAATTTGACATTACAGATGAAAAGCCTTAAAATCTTGGATAATTTCGACCTAATAATTTTGTTTTGAATACATCGTTCCAAACAAATAATAAAGATGTCACTGTAGTTCTCTTTAGAATTCTGATATACTAGAAACAACCTAATGTCTAGCAATAAGGGATTAATTCAATCCATTATGGGATACCCATATGATGGAATACTATGCCAACATTTAAAATGAAATATAGTATGTATTAGCATAGAAAATTGTTCACTAAATGAAGGAAGCAGGTTACAAAGCAAAATGTCGAGGAAAATTCAATTATTGTGAAAAAAGAAAAGAAAAACATGTACGTATAGAAAAAAGCCTGGAAGACTATACATCAAATTTATCTTTATGGAATTATGTGTGATTTTAATTTTTTTCCTCTATTTTTTTTTAAAGGTTGGGTGTAGATGGATTTGCTATCTGTCACAGACTTTAGATTCTATACTTCATTGTTTGGAAGAATTAAGGCCACTGTTCACAGCCCATTGGGAGTGAACAGGCAGTGTCATTCCCAGTCCATAAAGGACATGACAACACAGAAAAAGAAATTAAGAGGTAAAGGAGAGTTTCTCAACAGGGTGTTTCAAATAGGAGATGAAGTATGTTGTTTGCAGGGCAGTATTTAATTTTGAAATTTCTACTCCTTGACAAAGTAGACACAAACAGACGTAGTTGGCTATATAATTACTTCCTTATCATCCCAAGTGCTACCAAACATTGGTTTGTTCATTTGTTTCTCTCAATTCCTCAGAAGCCAAGTCTTTGCCTCTCAGCCTCAGTAGGCCAACCACATGCCTTTGGGGAAGCATCCCTAGACCCTCTGCCGTCCTCGAAAAGGATTTTCAAGGAGCTTGACTCCTGGCTCTTCACTCCCTTCACGCAGATTCCCGTTCTGGACTTGGTCCCTTGGTTCAGACAGCAGTTTCCACTAACCTCTGGGTCAATGCAATCTAACGCCGCCGATTCCCCACGGCCGGCGGTTTCATGTGGCTCCTGCTAGCCGCCGGGGCAGAGGGGGAGCCCACGGCCCTTTCTTGCAGGAGAATCGACACCGAGGAGGACGGGGAAAAGGGAACAACGTGCGCCGCTCTACCCTCAGAGTTTCGGTGGTTTCCGGGGACACTCTTTCTTTCTTCTCGCTGGAAGGCTGGAGGACCGGCGAGGAGCTGTTTGAGGAGCTGGCGGGCGGGCGGACTCTCCTTCCTGCGCCTCTTTGGTGCTGGGAGGCGGGCCTCGGGGTCGCAGTCGACGCCGTCGCCTCTCTGGGCTCGGCAGACTCACGTGACCGAGGCGGGCTCTGGAGCGGCCGGCCGCACTGAGGAAGCGGCGGCGGCGGCAGAGGCGGCGACCGCAGCCGGGTGGTAGCGGCTTGGCGAGGGACGGGCCGCTGCCCTCTCGGACAGCCGCGGCGGAAGAGAAAAATGGCGGAGGCTTCGGCGGCCGGGGCGGGCGCAGGCGCCGCTGTCGCCGCGCACCGGTTTTTCTGCCACTTTTGCAAGGGCGAGGTCAGCCCCAAACTACCGGTAAGAGCCCCGTGTCCTCTGCGCTCGGCATCGGCGTGAGTTCCTCGCCCCGATGTCCAAAGGGTCTTAAGATCCCCGCACTCCCCTGATTCCCCTGACATCGGTCTGTCCAATACCTGCTGCTCACGGTCTCCCGTCGCTGGCCCCCAACCCTGGGCGTCCCGGCCCTGGCTCCATAACTCCCGTCCGGCCTTTTTTCCCCCTCGGATGCTTGACCTGCCCTTCACTCCCTCTCCCCTCGTTACCTGCCCTCCCCCCCATCTTTCTGTCTGTTTTAGCAAGTTCTCCTCTGACAACTCTCCCCTCAGTTTTCTTGCACTCTTCTTCACCTTGTCTTCTCACTATGACCTCTCTTTCTCCTACTCGATACTCTTTCCGCTGTTGCTTCTCACCTTCCTCTTTGCTTTTCTACTTCACCAGATCCTCCCCCTCCCCCATCCTCAGTGAAGCAAAATAGCGGATTGATGAGGATTGTCCCTGTTCGGTTGTCTCTAGTGAAGGAAGGAAGGAAGGAAGCACGAAAGAGAGAGGGTTGGAAGGTAACTGTGGGGCAGAGAGGGGGATTTTGCTCTTCAGTGGTTTCCAGGGTTCTTGTGAAAGTGAAAACAGCCGTGTGTAATGACTTGCAGACTGCCTGCCTCCCTATCACTGTTGAAGGAAATGGCTTTAGGAAGAAGGCAGGACATATTGTTTCAACTTGGTTATTTTTGTTGTCCTGCTGCCAGTGTCTTTGGCACCACCTCCCTTACCCGCCCCCCTGCGCCGCTTTGTCTGTTCATTTAATACAAAGATCCAGGACAGAATGCTGGGGACTGCATCCTCTGACATAAAATTGGTTTTCACCAGTTTCTGCCAGACTGTTAGCACCTAGAGGGGTAGTGCTATGGTTGTGAAGAAAGCGCTTCTGCAGGATGCTAGCCAGCTACAGCACCCCAAACCCAGGCCCTGTTTTGGGTCGGGTTGTAACTACTGCAGGGAGACCCACTGGGGTGAATGTTAATCCTACCTTTGGCCACCCATCTTTAGAATTAGTTATGGTTGTTTTTTTCCTTAGAAGTAATCAGGTTCAGTCTTGACAGGGTGGCTTCATAACAACTTACCTCTAGACTTATAGTGTCTCAGGTACAGTATGAGAAAGTCTACTAAAGTGTGTCTGTATGTCTTATTTCTTAGAAACACAAAGAGTCTTGTGAATAAGTGCCTGAAGAATATTGTAGCCTCTTCACCTAAAAGTTGTGCTTTTTCAGGCTTTTATAGCATTTTCTTTTCTTTCTGTTTGCCCTACCGCCAACTTCAAAGTCATAGTTTCATCTACAGACTAGTTTTGCTTGCTGATTTGGCGGTGTGTGTATGTGCTTTTTGCCATGTTTCAGTGCTGGGAAGAGCAGGTGCTTTGTTTTTTTTCCAGTGGACATCCGAGCCTCCAGAACTCTCTTACCACAGAAAGGGAGTCTGGAATTGAGCTAGTGTGTGTGTGACCAGTGACGTGTTGTTGAATGTGATGCCTTGTTGAACATTGCATCCGTAGCTCTACTGATCTTTAAGTCGCTGTTCACTATTTGCCTTAAAGAGTGAGAAAACAGTCTAACTTTCCACAACTTATTATATCTTTTCTTTTTACCATCTCAAGTCCTCACTTCAGAGTGCTCTTGAACAGTGATAATTTGAAAGACTTTTTGGATGTTTTTCTAAGCCTTAGTTTGATGCCTGGAGGAGAGGCTATTGATCTTTTTACTCTGATTTATTATCTGTAATGTCTGATTTGTAAACTAAGGCCTAACACAATTAAATGTAATTGAATATTTACACATACATACAAGGTTCTGTACTGGATATTCTGAAGGCAATAACTGAGGAATATGTGGTTCCTGCCCTTAAGGAGCTCACAATTTTGTTGGAAAGACAAGACAATCATGGAAAAAGTAACAATGTAAGGTGAGTGAGGATGGGTAATATGTGCTTTCGAATTCAGAGAGAGGGGGATATGGTAACATTGGTGAGGTGAGGGAAAGAGTGAGAGATGGGATTTAAATTGAGTTCTACAGGATAGGCAGAATTCAGATTGAGGAGGATAGCATAGACTGAGGTAGAAAAGGAAGAGTGAGTTGAGGAAGAAGGGAGAAATATTTAGTAAATCATTGTTGTTATGCATTTTTAGGAAAAGGTGCAATGAGGTCAGGGGTTTAGTTTTGATTTGTAGATGACCCAGTGAGTTGCATCTTGTTTCATGGCCATTTGTATATCCTTAACCCCAGACTGTCATCTTGAAAATGTTGGTTGTAAGAATGACCAGGTCAGTAAGTGGCTGGTTCAGTACAAATCTGTCTCTGCTACTGAAAAACCAACTCAAACACTGGTAAGTCAGTAGTATGATTTTCATATATATAGGAGAACATCGAAAAGTTTTTTAAAAATAATTTTTTATATAAACTTAAGGTTCCCTCACCTTAAGTACTCAGTATACATTAGGCATGCATTGTTTCTTCAACTGGACAAATGTTATGGGAAAGCTGGATGTCTTTCTGAGGATAGCTAGACTCAACTTATTGTGAATGAAGTTTTTCTTTGTTTTGTCTTAATGGATCACAAGAACCATCATCCATGAGCGCTGTCCTCCCTGAACACGTGAGGCTGCGTATGGAGTTTTACATCAGCTTTCAATGAACTATTACTCGGTAGGTTTCTTCACCCAATCAGTGGGAACGACTGCTTCAGAGCCATCTTATCTCTTGCCAATTTAGTCACCACATAGCAGAGTCATAATTGTGTTCAGTGGGACCAGGTTGCAAGGTTTTTACCACTCTTACTTTTTCTCCGTTTCCCAATCGCTAGGATACAGCACTTCTTGATACATTTGGAAGTGTGCACAGGCAATAGCAATAGTTTACCCAATGTTCAGCCCTGAAACTGCTCTTAGGTTTTTGTTTATCATTTATCTTGTCAGTCCTACTACTCTGAAAGATTCACAAACCCAGTTAACTTTCGTGTCTGAATTAGAAGAAATAGTTTTGGCTATAATTTCTGAGAGAGATTGAAATATGCCTAATGCTATTAAGTTAAGCCACATTCGTTTGAATTAATTTGGTGAAATAACACTCCTCATTGCTAATCCTGATTTATCCATCTTAGCTTTGTGTGTCTTTGGTGTGAATCCTCCCAGATAAGAGAAAAAAGTTTCATTTAGAAAGAAGATATTAAGAAATGAGGGAAAACCGTGAATGGAATTTTAAAATGAAAATATAATATTCAGTGGTACTGTTATCTGTTAGGCTTCAAAAAAGAGTCTCCATTCTAGAAGTGAATATTGATTTAGAAATTTCTTTCTCTTATTGGGAGTGTTTTGTTATTTACAGTGAAATTAATTTTAGTAAAATTTAGTGAGTACTAAACTTGAATTTTAAAATAAGAGATTTTTATTATATGGTCTGAAACCCCAGGGTTTCAAGTTTATATATGATTAGGTAAAATGGCATTGTATATTTTTTGGTCATCAAATGATAGAAGAAATACTTAAGTAACTTAAAATTATTTTCATAACATAGCAGAAGCTTTTGCCTCACCTGACTATACTGTTGAGAGACACTGTGAAGTCAAGACTGACACAGTTACTGTGCTCCATTGATGAATGACTGGGCAGTACCACAGAGGGCTGTGTTATGGAATGTAAAGATGTCATTCCGTCCTCTTTTAAATCAAGGCCAGGGAATATTACCTTATGAGATGGAGTCTGATAGAATCATCATTAAGCAGGTGAGATAAATCATATGCAGAGTAAACTACTTTTGGTATTGATAAGACTAGGGTGGTTCTTAAGTGTTTTGTGGAGATCAGAGTCCTCATCCAGACAAGAGACCAGTCTAAGGATTACCAGTGTGTTGCTCATTTCTGAGGCTCTGCCTGAAAGAACTAGCAGGCTTCTCTCCCTCTCTCATCTCCTTATTATATCACCTTCTTTGATCTAATAAAATGTCATCCTTATCAATAAGTAATGTTATCTAGTTTGGCTCTTTACCAGGTGCTCCACAAGTTATCATCATTGTGCTGTACTTGTAATGGTTCTAATACGGGAAAACTTTCTAACTACCCTATTAGAAGAGTAGCTGAAAAGTAGATTTCTTAGACTTTGTGATTCTTAAAACTCTAAGCTCACTAAGCTTGCTTTTTAAGTTGCATGATTCTTGGAAAGATCCCAGGGTGGTGTATAAGTAATGTAAGTAGTGTTGTTGAACTAGGGGAAGGAATTCAGTGATTTGAGCTGGGTTTGAGAGGTTTTAATTATTAGATTATCCTAAATTTTGCTATTTGTGACTTAACTAGCTAAAAAGTCTACTTGATTATCTGGCATCTCTCTGGTGCTATATAGCAGTTGTTTATTAAATATTTCTTGAACGAATATGTGATATGATAAGTTGAATACCCAATAATTACATTTAAAAAGTAGTGGCTTTAGTGTTGTGAGATCTTTATCTAGAAGGCTCAGTGGTACAAAATGCAGGTGCTCCACATGAAGTGTGAACATGCAGTGTTAGTAAATATATTCCCTGCAAGGATCTAGAAATAAGAAATATGTAACCTTATGGGTAGAAAGCTAGTTCTAGTCTTGAAATTCTTCTGATAAATAAACGTATATATTGGGGAAATCTGTGGGACTTTTTCAGTATGAGGAAGAATAAAATCTTAAACTCACTGCAGATGAAATTCCTTATATTTTGTGGGGAAGTACCAATTGGATGCTAACACTTTGTGTTTCTTTATGTTTAGTTGGCTTTTTATGACCTTTACTTATGTTCAGGGAGAAGATGCTAAGGTCTTTTAGACAGCCATCTTATTAGAAGAGGAAAGAAGGTGTGGATTGCTTTTTCTTCTCTGTAGTCAAATTAGAAGGGGTCTAAGCATAAG